AAAAATAACATTAAATGTTGTTGTTGTTTGTTGTTGTTGTTGGTTGTTGGTTGTTTTCAAGTGCAAACAATGATTGGCCTTCGTATTAATTATTTATATAAATGAAAATGGGAAAAAAAAGGAATATTAAATGAAATTTTTGAGATTTTTTTTTTTTTTTTTTGGTATTGCGTGGTGTCGGTTAATGAAAAAAACTCAAAATGAGAAAAGCTTTTAAGCTTCCACTGGGTGGAGTTTTTAGTTTTTGGCAGGATTTTCTGAGCAAAGAGCAAATGGGATACTTTTCTTTCATTTTTCCATTTTTCCATTTTCCTTTTTTTCTTTTTGTGTCTTTTCAGATGCACTCGATAACAGAAAATTGAGAAAAGTTAAGGAGTTATATCGATTTTTTTAAAAATGAAGAAGAAAAAAAAAAATTGATTAAATCACTGTTGATTAAAAAATTTTTTTTAAATTATATATGATTTATTCAAGTGTTATTCGATAATAATAATAATAATAATAATAATAATTTTAAAATGATTTTCTTTCGACACGAACGTTTAAGAATGAAAGTAAAAAAAAAAAAATTGAAATCTTTTTTTTTTCAAATGATTTTCCACGTGTGTAAATATAAATTGCCATTCGAAAGCTCCCCACCTTCCCCCCTCTTCACCCTCACAAATTGTTAAAAAAATAGTGATGTCATTACACACCATTAGAAAAAAAAATATTTTCGCATGATACATAATTAATTATTTATTATAATTGCACGCCATATTAATTTTGATATTTGGCAAAAAAAAAAGAGGAAAAAGGGAAAAAATAATGAAGTCAAGGTCACACGCGAGAAGGTCGAACAGGAACGAACTGCAAATTTTTTTTTTTTGTTAGAAAAGGGGGGATGAATGATGGGGGGGTGGTGGTGGTGGTAGGGAAATGAAAACTGGAGCGGCGCCCTAAACTATAGGAAAAGGGAATTTTCTAGAGCCTCGCAAGTTTCCAGTTGGCGGCCGGAACGCCTTTTGATCGTACGTTTTTAATTGGTTATACACCATTATCATTATTATTATCTACACATACACATATATATATATGAGAATAACAAATAAATATCGTATTTAAAGCAGAAGACATTTAAAAAATGAATAAATAAATAAATAATAAATTTTTTTTTTGTTTTTTCTTTCTCGTACAGATAAAATTTTCCAATAAGAAAAACAAATCGTTTGTTGTTTTTGTTTTTGTTGTTATTTTATTTCTTTTACTCTTTCATATTAAATAGTTAAATGATGCAATAATAAGAGGAAAATCCCGGGTTTTTTTTTCTAAACGCGTCGCGTCGAATTTATTTAAAATAAAGTGCAATGAATGAATAATAATAATAATAAAGTATTTTATGATTTGAAATTTTTTGCAAATGATAAAATTGTTGTTGTTGTTGTTGTTTGTTTTGAAAAAATTGTATCGATTTAGAGTATGACTACTGCTACTGCTATGGGTGGCTCGTCGTTTTTAAGCAACGCCTATGCCTAAATTTTCTTTTTTTTTTATCATACCTAAATTAAAACTCGTATGAATTACACTTTGTTGTGGTTGTTAATTTGTTGTTGTTGTTGTTTGTGGTGATACTGCTGTTGTTGTTCCTGTTGTTGAAAAATTCAAAATAATTTTTTTTTTGTTTTCAAATTTATCAATTGATTATTATTATTATTATTATTAATAGTATGTATCAATTTTTTTTTTTTTTTTGTTACATTAATGAGAAGAATCCAGAATCTCTCTTGGCTTTTTTTTTCTTTTTTTTTGAATCAATAAATTGAGAAAAAAAAATAATAATACTAAACAACAATTCAAGTTAAAATGTTTTTTAAAAAAAAAAAAATTTTGTTTTGCTGTTGGGAAAAATTTATTTTTTCAGGTTTTGAGATGATAAAAAAAAAAAAATTATTTTCTCTGTTTTTTTTTTTTTTTTTTTTATAAATATTAAATCAGTTATCAAAGAGAGAAAGAGTGAGTGAGAGAGAGAGAAAGAGAGAAAGAAAATATTTTTTGTATTGACCAAGTGAAAAAATTTGATACGGGTTTACGGTTATTATTATTATTATTATTATTACGACACGACGAAAGGTTTTTTGTTTTGTTTTGTTTTTAAATTAATAATTTATTATTATTATTGTTGTTAATGTTTCAGTTAATAATAATATGCAAAAAAAAGTTAAAAAATTAAATAATAATAATTTTATATATAAAAAAAAAAAACAATTATTATGTTATATATGTTAAATATGAATTGTTGACATTTACACGAATAAAAAAAAAAAAAAAGTTTTTAAAGAAAAAAAATAATAATAATAATTAAAATGGCGTTTGCTGCGGCTCGCATGATACTCAAAGACAAACGCCGAAAGTCTTCCAAAGAAGACTTCCAAGTGTCAAAGAACAAAAGCAAGGTGAGTCTATACATATACAAGTAAAAGTTTTCTTTTTTTTTTTTTTATATATTAATAATAATGTTCACATGTGAAAATTAAACACTTTAATAATAATAATTATTATTATTATTGTTTTGTTTGGTTCATCATCATTATCATCAACACGGTTGTTGTTATTTTATGCGGATGTGATTAAAAAGAAAAAAAAAAAAAAAATTTAAATCGATAGGAAAACATATGAAAATAATAAACGTGTTTCACGCACGAACCCACGCACACGCGCACACACACAAACACGGAAATGAAAAATTATTCTTTCCCCCCCCCCATTTATTATTATTATTATTTATTTATTGAGAAAAAAGAATTATTTTATTTAAAAAAATTTTTCTCCTACTTTATTTGGTATTTTTTCAGGCTCGAATAAGCGGGAGCAGTTCTAGTTTTCGCAGCCTTAGTCAGGTAAAAAAAAGAAAAAATTTCCCCCATTTTTTTTTTTTTTAGGCGCCATAGTTTTGTAGAATTTTTTTTTTTTCATATTTTTTATAGTACTTTTTGTCGTTTGTTTTATTATTATTATTATTATTATTTATTAATGCCATTTTTGCATAATTTTAGTATTAAAAACAAAAAAAAATAATTAAAAAAAATTTAAAAGTAAAATAAACACAAATAGTTTAGATTTAGATAGTGCAAGAGTTTTTTTTTTTGAATAAAATTTATTATTATTATTATCATACATAAAAAAAAAACAAGCATGGTATATTTGAAAAGTAGTAAAACCTTTTTTTTATTATTATTTATTTATTCCCCCCGCCCCCTCGCCCCCCAAATTTTTTTTACTTCTTAACAAAGGTTCTTTCTGGAAAAATGTAATTAATAATAATATATTCGTCGTCCTGAAAAAAAAATTAATATAATAATATAATAATATAATATATATAATAATATAATAAATTATTATTATTATTATTAATAATAATGATAATAAAAATGTAAATTTCATCGACTTTTTTTTTACTTTTTATGGGGACTCTTGGAAACAAAACGAAATTTAAAATCTTTTCGCAAAAAAATTTTTTTTTTTTTTTTGGTTTTTTAATTATCAAATTAAATTGTGTGACTTTCTGGGGGGTATGGGGAGGGGAAGAGGGGGTAAAAACAATCGAATTTATAAATCGAATTTTTTATTGGTATTTTTTCCTTTATTTTATATCGATAAAAACTCTTATTAAGGTCAATAATAATAATAATTAATGGCACGATTATTTATAACGATAAAAAAATAGGTAGTAAATATTTATGAAAATGTCTTTTTTTTATTATCTATTATTATATATATATATATATATATATATTTATGTTATTAAAAAAATTAAGAAAAAAGTGGGGAGGGAGGGGTAAAAGATAATTTTAGTTAAATGGTTATTTAATTATAAGAATAACTCTAAATTATTAATAACTTTTTTTTTTTTTAATTTGTTAATTATAATTTAAACGGTTTTATTCCTTTGAGATTAAAGACGTTAAAAAACTTAATATTACCAACATAATAAAAAAAAAAAAAAAAAAGATAAATTGGATGTCGGTCCGACATTTTTAATAATTAAACTTTTTTAATTATTTGAACATTAGAAAATAAATAAAAATCTCATTAAAAAAATTTTTGTTTTATTTTTAATTTTAGGAAAATTAATTTTTTATTCTCAACCATTTTGGTAATTGGGGGGACGGGAGGGGGGACAGGTTGCTCATGTAAATCATCGAATAATGTTATAAACCGATTTTGTGTTTTGGTCTCGAATTGTTTTGGAAAATTTTAAAATTGTCGTATATCATCATTGAAATTATGTTTTTTATGTTGTTGTTTTAACCTTGGAAGAAAATGAGTATGTGAAGGAACTTTATTAAACATAATTATGTTTATTATAATAATTATTTATTTATAAATAAAAATAATTAGATTTTAGTGTAATTTTTTTGTTTGTGAGACAACCAATGAAACATTTTTGTTGTTGTTGGCATTGTTTTGGTATTCGTTTTAAACATAATTTAAACAAATTGTTGTTAAAATATTTAAATTCTTAAATTTTAATTAAAAATTTATTAATTTAACAAACAAACTGACACAAACACACAGTTTTATATATTTTGTGAATAAATTTAATTTGATATATTAAATAATTTTTTTTTTTTGTCTCACAAAATAATAATAAATAATTTCAAAAATAGGAAATTTTTGGGTTGAACATGAAAAAATTACAAACGATTCAATTTAATTTTTTTTTAGTAATTACATTCACTGACCTATGACTCATATACCCTCCCCCTTCCTCTCCTCCTCTTCCCCCTCAATTTATTTAAATTGTTTTTTTTTTTTTTTGGCTTAAGTTTTGATTGTTTTGATACTTTTAAAAGTTTCAAATTAAATTAGATTATGATGCTTTTTTTTAAATATTTTATTGAATGAATTTTTTTTTTTTTGAATGAATTTTACCAAATAAGGATATTTTTATATTATTTTGTTATTATAATTAAAATTAATAAAATTCACTGATTGGTCGTCTGTACAATCAATTGTTTGTAAAGAAAAGTTGAAATACTAGTGTGAAATATTATTATTATTATTTTAAACAAAATGGAGGATGATTTTTTTTGTCGTCTGTCCAAGAGTAAAGTTTAATTTAAAAATTATTTTTAATTATTTTATTTATTTATTTTAGGCTAGAAATAAACCTGCGGATGGTCATATAACACAAAAAGGACAAACCGGACAAAGAGTTCCCGTGCCAAGTCAACAGGGAAAAACGGGACAGAAAACCGGTCAAAAACCTACAGCACAAAAAGGTCAGGTAAAACCACAAACTCAACCGAAACAAGGTTCAGTCAAACCTGGAGGAAAGCAAAAAAAAAAAGGACATAAAAATCAACAATACGATTTAACGGTTACCATTAATTTAGTAAGTACCAATTGTAATTTCTTTTTTTTTTTTTCAAAATGGCGGCAGGTCGTATAACGTATTTCTCTTCTCTTAAACTGGTAACTGGATTTTTTTTTTATCATTATTATTGTTATTATAATTGTCTGATAATAAACAAAAAAAAAAATAAAAGAGGAAACTAAATAATAAACAACGTATTCAAAGGTTTATTTCAAGGCGCCAAAAACAGTTATAATAATGGCAAAAATCCAAAAAATTTTCTTTTGATATCTAATTCAAATCCAAAAATAAAAAACGGCATTGCAGAAAAATTTGGGACATTTTTTTTTCTTTTTCCTCGTTATAATACTAAAAGTTTTTTTTAAAATTAATTAATGTTAAGTTTTCGATTTATTATTTGATATAGTTTTTAAATTTAATATTTAAATAAATTTTTATGAGTAAACGTTTGATAATTTAATTATAAAAAAAAAAAAAAGAAAAGATGGATGCTAGGAATGAAGTTTACAACACCGAATATAATCGTTTAAGAAAATTGACGTGTAGAACGGAAATTAAATTATCTTGCGTAAGATTATTATTATTTTAAATTATTTATAATAATATTTTTAAAAAAATATATATTTTATTTATTTATGGAGAGAAGAGGAAGATTTTATTATAGCACTTTCGATCTTTTTTTTTTTTTTTTTTGATAAAAACAATAAAAAAATAAAGAAAATTTATTTTGTAATGCAGGAAAAGTAGTAAGTGAAAGTTTTTTTTCCAGTCTGAATATGGTCTTACGGAGGAACAAGTCGCTGGTATGTACATAAAGTTTATTAAATAATTAAATAAAACAAGTGATAATAATAATAATAATAATAAAATGTTGTTATATACAGAATTTAAAGAAGCTTTTATGCTTTTTGACAAAGATGAAGATGGACAAATAACAATGGCCGAATTAGGAGTCGTTATGAGATCTTTGGGACAACGTCCGACAGGTACGTTGCAAATATAAATAGTGTGGAAGTGCGGGGGTCCTGCCTTTATTCCTCACATTATCGTATTTTTTTTTTGTGTCGTTGTGGTTAAAACAATATTTTCTCATTAAATATATTAAAATTCCACAATATTTTATTTTTTTTTTTATATTCGAAATAGTTTCATGCGGTGATAAATGTTTTGAACACATTAAAAACGGATATAAAATATTAGAATAATTAAAAAAAAAAAAAAAAAAAAAAAGAAAAATGTAAATGTGCCTTTCAGGTTTCCCTTAAAAAAAAAAAGTCAATTTACATTCACGCGATGGCGATTGCGTAGAATGAAAAAGGAAAAGTTTACTGAACCATGAGGGAAAATTTTTCTCTCGTTAAAATCAAAATATGATTCATAATAATATAAAAACGTGGTTTTTTATTAAAAATTTCTTTCCCCCCCCCCCATTCTTTCTCCAGCAGTCAGTCATGATCGGTCACTTTTTTTTATTATCCAAAAAGAAAGAAAGAAAGAAAACAAAATAAATTTCAACCTTTTAATATTTGCATGTTAATGAATATTCAGTATTTTGATCACGCTATTACATAAAAAAAAAAAAAAGGTAATTTTTTATCGGTCAAAAAATTTTTTAAAATAATTTTTTGTAATAAAAATGTTTAAATAAAATGTTTAAAAAATTGAAAAATTTTTCAGAAACGGAATTAAGAGACATGGTTAAAGAGGTTGATCAAGATGGAAATGGTACAATCGAATTCAATGAATTTTTACAAATGATGGCAAAAAAAATGAAAGGAGCTGATGGTGAAGAAGAACTTCGAGAAGCATTCAGGTATGTTAAAAAACAACAACAAGTAGTTTACATATCGACATCATTGTTATTATTATTATTATTATTTCATTACCAAATCATTCAATATTTCAGTTAACTTTTTGTATTTAAAAAAAAAAGAAAGTGAACACGCAATTCAAAATTAAGGTTTTTAAATCTGTCCATCACGTCACATTTTGATGATGATGATGATGATGATGATAAATCAAAAAAGTGTGTCAAGTTTAAAAAAAGACAAAAAGTTTAAGGTTGGATTGAAATGAAAAAATTTTTTTAGGGTGTTTGATAAAAATAACGATGGACTCATTTCATCCATTGAACTTCGACATGTCATGACAAATTTAGGTGAGAAACTTTCAGACGAAGAAGTTGATGATATGATAAAAGAAGCAGATTTAGATGGAGATGGTATGGTTAACTACAATGGTAATTATTTTGTTTATTTATAAATAATTAGTATATGTGCTCTCGGACTACAATTTATATTTATTTTTTCTAGAATTTGTAACGATATTAACATCAAAAAATTAAATTGGAAATAAAAAAGTGAAAAAAATATATAAAAAAAAAAAAACATATTTTAATCACGCACACACAGGGTAAGGGCAGAGCATTGAATTTTTATCAATTCAATGCGGATTTGAATAAACGAATTTAAAAAAAAAAAAAAATTTATGTAAAAGTTGGGACGAAAAAGCCAAAAAAAATTTTTTTTTTTTTTTTTATACCTGAAAAGAATGATTGTTATTTTCCTTTAGAGCAAAAGGTTTTTTTTAAAGGTCATATAAATTTTTTTTTTGTTTTTAGATTTATAGAAATCATGTCATTTTATACGCTTTTCTAACGAAAAAAAAAAAAAAAATGCCGAGTTTGATTTCTACTTGCGCCTTTAAAAAAAAAAAAAAAAAAATTTAATTAAATATTGCTCACAGAAAATGCCTCTGATTTATTTATTTATTTTTTTTTTTTCATTTTGATTGCATATATATGTAAATATATAGAAAGAGAAAATTTTTTTTTATATTTTTTCCCGCATAAATTAAAAAAAAAGGATAAAGAAAGACTAATGAAATATGAAAATGAACGAAAAAAATTAATTTTTCCATCAAATAAATAAATAAATAATAATAATATCTTCTAAAATTTCTTATGATTTGTTCGATATAGTGCAAAAAAAAAGTAGTGTAATGTAGTAATAAGACAAAAAAAAATATAAAATTACATCTTTTAAAATAGTTTGGCATTTTAAATAGGTGATGTTAATATTCATAATTTTTTTTTTTTTCAAATTCGTTACAACTACTTAAAATTGTAATAGAATAATTTGGAGGCATAACAAAAAACAACTTAAATGAAGTCGGTTATTTTTTTTTTTTTTTCGGCTACAAATAAAATTTAGGGTATTTATAGCTAAATTAATCAGAAATTGAATAATATTGTTGTTGAAGACTTAAGGATGTTGTGTTATTATGTGTTATTACGTTTGAAAATCTTGAAATAATTTTTTAAATATGAAAAAATAAATGCTTAATTTTATAATAAGTTATTGTGTATAAATTATTTTAATATATTGTACTAAGCCGTTGCATATTCCCATAATATTTATCATATGGTCATGTAAATAATATTTAAAAAATTAGATAATTTTACAAATGATATATTTATTACTTTAAACGCTAATTATTATTGCATTTCTATATTAGGTGTAAAATATATACTTAAAGAATAAAAGATAAAAGTGCGAGTGTGTAAAAAACATTGATTATTTCTATAGCAACTTCTCACCTTTAATATATAATATTCAGAAGATATATCTATGACGGTTACAAACTTATGTATATTTTTTGGATTTGTTTTTAGAAATTTTATCCGATTTCAAGAACATTAACTTCAGGGTGAATTAAAAAAAGAGTAAGGCGTAGAAAATTGATAAACTTTTAAAAATTTAAATAATATTTACAACGTGTCAATAGCGTAGTTATGTAATAATTATTCTTACACTTTTTTTTTTAATTTGTAAATGGTAACTTTAATCTATTGCCACGGTATTATGAATTCTGTAAGTGACGTCAATGTGAGATATTAATATATGTAAATATCAATTATTTTGAAAAAAGTAACATTATCGCTCTGCAAATATGAGCCATAAACGAGGAGGGACGGGAATTATACCTGGGTTTTCCTATTCTGGATTTGTATTGCCAAAAAATGATTCACCTCACGCAGGAGCCGCTATTCCTCCTCCTACTGTTGGATTTAAAAGCACTGGCACTGGTTTAAGCAAACAAGGATACTCGACAATGATGGCCATTAGTCAAAATGCTTTAAGCTGTCAGACGAATTGGGGCGCTCCTAAGAAGAGAGCGAAAACCGAAGATGAATATTTTGACGAAGAGGAAGAGTTTACATACCAGAACAACACTTTAGAATACATACCTGGTAAGTTAAAAATTTTTTTTAAAATTGGGTTTAAAATTTATGTAATGCAAATATGTATTTATGTAATCTTGTTTTTTTTTTGTTTTTAAGCTCCTGGAAGTCCTTCATATTTAGAAGAAAAAAATGCTACCACTCGTAAAGTTGATGATGATGATTCAGAGGAAGATCCTTTAGATGCTTTCATGGAAGGCATAGATCAACAATTCCAAAAAGATTTAAAAAAAGCTGAAAGAAATGCAGAAATGAATGAAAAAGGAGACAACAATAAAGGTTTTAGGGATGATATTGATGCAGAGGATGACGAAGAATCTTATTACAGGTTTGCTTTAAGTGTTTTAAACATATTTTTTTAAAATATTTTTTGTAGTAATTGATTTTTCATTAAAATTTTTTTTCTCTGTAGTTTTTAGTATAGTAGTACAAAGTTTAAAATAATTTACCTATTGATTTTCTGATTGTAGATAAATTTAATACTATCTTAAATCTTTTTTTTTTTCTTATAATACTAGATTTCTACATAATATTATTCTGTAAAAGTATTATTTTATTTTCATAGTCTGGTTATATTTCTTCAAAAAAAAAAAATTAAAGACTCCTTTTATATTTTTGAAAAATTACGAAAAATATTTTACTAGGCACTTCATGACTGAGAAATATTAATCTCGTTAAAAATAAATTTTAGGTACATGGAAGAAAATCCATTAGCAGGTGTTCAAAATGAGGATTCAGATATTGAATTAGAATATGATGAAGATGGAAATCCTATACCACCAGCAAAAAATAAAGATATTGATCCACTTCCTCCTATTGATCACTCATGCATAGAATATCAAGATTTTGAAAAAAATTTTTATGTTGTACATGACGATGTAGCAAATTTAAGCAAGTCTAAAGTTGAAGAATTAAGAAAAACATTGGGAATTAAGGTTTGCAGTGAAAAACAATTGTTGAATGAATTAACAGTATTTATTGAAAACACATTTATAAAAATATTAATTTTATTTAAGGTCACTGGTCCACAGCCACCTCATCCTGTTGTAGGTTTTGCTTATTTCGGATTTGATGAAGCATTGATGAAAGTAATTAGAAAGTCTGAGTACACCACTCCAACACCGATTCAAGCCCAGGCTGTACCTGCTGCTTTAAGTGGAAGAGATATTATTGGTATTGCCAAAACTGGAAGTGGTATGCTTATTACTTTTATTATCAAATATGTTATTTTTAAGATGAAATCATCATTTAAGAATATTTTCGATTATTTTATGATAGTTTTAACTTTTGTATATAATCCATGTTTTTTTTTTTTTTTTTTTTTTTTTTTAGGAAAAACGGCTGCTTTTGTTTGGCCAATGCTTATTCACATAATGGATCAAAAAGAATTAAAACCTGGAGATGGTCCCATTGGATTAATTTTAGCTCCTACTCGAGAATTATCTCAACAGGCAATTTTTTTAAATTTTAATTATATATTGAAACCTTTGTTTTCGAGGTTGAGCTTTATTTATGACTTTGTAAAAATTATAGATATATTCTGAAGCAAAAAAATTTGGAAAAGTTTATAATATTCAAGTTATTTGTTGTTATGGAGGTGGAAGTAAATGGGAACAATCCAAAGCACTTGAAAATGGTGCAGAAATAGTAGTTGCTACTCCTGGCCGAATGATCGATCTTATCAAAATGAAAGCTACTAATTTGAAAAGAGTTACATTTTTAGTTTTGGATGAAGCAGACAGAATGTTTGACATGGGTTTCGGTAAAATAAAAATAAAATGATTTTTTTTTTTTTTATATATATTTTTTTATATTTATTAAGTGTGCTTTTAATTTTTTTTTAGAACCGCAAGTAAGATCAATCTGTAATCACGTTCGTCCCGATAGACAAACATTATTATTTTCGGCCACTTTCAAAAAAAAGGTAGAACGTTTGGCTCGCGTTGTTTTAACGGATCCGATTAGAATCGTACAAGGTGACGTAGGGGAAGCAAACGAAGACGTCATTCAAAATGTCCTCATTTTACCTAATCAAGCAGCAAAATTTATGTGGCTTACAAGTCATATTGTTGAATTTTTATCTAATGGTAGCTTACTAATTTTTGTCACAAAAAAAGTCAGTTAATACTTTTTTATTTATTTATAATCCTTTATTTAACTTAAATATATATTTTTAAATACAATTTTTTTTTTTTCGAAATAGGTTAATGCCGAAGAAGTGGCAAACAACTTGAAGCTAAAAGAATTTGACGTATTATTACTTCACGGTGACATGGATCAAATTGAAAGGAACAAAGTAATAACTCAATTTAAAAAAAAAGAAGTCAGTATTTTAGTGGCCACCGATGTTGCAGGTATGAATTAAAGGAAAATATTTATTAACAATTAACGAATTAATTATTCGAAAGTTATTAAATACGTAACGATTCCCTTTGTATTTTAGCGAGAGGATTAGACATTCCTCACATAAAAACAGTCGTTAATTATGATATAGCGAGAGACATAGACACTCATACTCATCGAATCGGAAGAACAGGTCGGGCCGGAGAAAGAGGATATGCTTATACTTTAGTGTTAAATCAAGATAAAGAATTTGCAGGACATTTGGTGAGAAATTTAGAAGGTGCAAATCAAGAAGTTCCAAAAAGTTTAATGGATCTTGCACTTCAGGTATCGATATTAGTTAAAATACTTAACCGAATTTTTATTTTGTTCATGTTAGTAAACCTGATTTTTAATATTTTTTTTATCCAGAGTTCTTGGTTCCGAAAATCAAGATTCAAAAGTGGAAAAGGAAAACAGTTAAACGTGGGAGGATGCGGTCTTGGATTCAGAGAGAGGCCTGGTATGGGAAGTTCAGTGTCAACCACCACAGCCGATTTGATAAAAAAATGCGGCCCAGGATCAGATAGACTGTCAGCAATAAAAGCCACATTTAAATCACAGTATTTAACTCAAGTAATATTAATTTTCTTTAATTACTTTTTAAAAGTTAAGAAGAAGAAAAAGAAAAAAAAATTAATTAGATAAATAAATATTTTAATATAGTTTAAAGCATCAAGTGATCACACTTGGGAGCACACGAGAAATCAATTTGATAAAAATGTTCCTAAAAACGTTGAAAACACAGAAGAGGATAATAATAAGCCAAAGCGAAGCAGAAAAAGTAGATGGGATAGTTCATAGTTTTGTAAGTAATTTGATATTTATAATTTGTAATGTACCGTATATTTCAAATTTTTTATCATATTTTATTATATATATCGAAGAATAATTGTTTCGGTTAAAAAGAAAACACATTATAGAAAGTAGTCTTAAATTACTTTGCTTAGGCCATCTTTAATAAAATAGAATTAATTATTTATTAATTTTGAAACGATGTGCAAACTCACGGAAATAAATTTAATTTACATTAAGTTTTTAATTGTGTCCAATATCGTATTTATTTTTCTACCACTGATTATTTGATGAAATCAATTCGTTATTAAAAAGGATTATTCTTTTAAATTGCAGATAAAAGGAAATTAAATTGAATTTTAACAATAAAAATCGTTTTAATAAAACTGAAAATTATCCCATTCAATAAATTTTTTGCTATTGGTCGTGGCACGTAATACCGATATACGTCATTCGGATCATAATGAAGCAGAAGACGCAACAAAATTAATCGTTTAACGGTTTTCATGATTTTTGGATGGTTTTTTTTTCTTTTTTTTTTTTTTTTTTATTAATTAACTTTTTACACACATCGTGAATTAAGTTGGTAACGATTATTTTATTAAAAACGATGTTAAATTTATATATTTAATATAAATATATATTTAAATTTATACATATACGTGAATATTTGAGTAAGTAAAAAAATTTGCTCACTAAATTTTTATAGAATTAATAATTATTAACAACAATTTTTAATTTTTCGTCAAGTAATAATATATGTTGAGTAACTCGTTTGTTTATATCAAGTCTAGATATGTATTTGAAAATTGAAAATTTTCTTAATGGTTTCTTTACTATTTCGAATAAAAGTTTAGAAAAGATATTTTCTAATGAACAACTTTATCATATTTAATTTTTAAAATATATATATATATAATATAAAAATGAATTAGAAATAGAGTGTAACTAATTTTAAAAAAAATGTTATTGAACATAATAAATTAACGCCATTCATTTAATCAGCAAAAATAAAATCAAATTTTTTTTTTTTTTTTAATTATTCTATATATTTAATTGATTTCATAAAAAAAAAAAAAAAATATTTTAAAAGATATACAATTATAATTTTGACCTGTTTGCTTATAATTTCTAAAAAATTATGAGGTAATGCAATTATTTTAGTTATTTTATTTAGTTAAAAAGAATAGTAGTCATTGATAGTCTATTAAAATTATAATTAATAATCAGTATTAAATATTATTAATACATTTTTTTTTCAAGTGTATGCTAAAATGAAAATTAATTTATTAATAATTATTTTTGTTTATGTGTTTTTTCACTGATTTTATAAAAACGAAGAAAAAAATAGCAAAACAACCCAACAGGTATTAAATGTGGTTCAATCTTCAATTACCTGAAAATTTTTTTAACAATAATGAAAAGTATTTTAAAAAATTAACAATTATTCTTTTAAAAAAAAATATAGGTACTTACATGTGAATGCATAATACTGTGTATTCTCTGAAAAAATTGATTCGATAAATTTTATTATAAGCAGTCTTTAAAAAAGGTTTTATAATTGAATAAAAAACTTTTATGTTTTTTTTTTTTAATTTAAAATATAAATTCAAATTTCTTTGAAATTTCTTAAATAATTTTGTTGTCTGAACATTTTGTTTCTACTATTTGGAGGTATTGTATTCCTTGAAGGAATGTTTTTAAAGGCTATACTCCAATTTTGATATAATCTCATGTCTAACATAATATTTAAAACAGTATTTAAAGGAAGAGATTTCATTCCTTTTTGCCAATCCAAATAATAATCTAATGGAAATTTTGCCATTCTAATATTATCTTCCTTGGCCTTGGCCAGTGAGGCTTGTATAGAAGATCCTTTGTCAACATAGGCACCTATTATGTAAATATCATCATGATTGTAATTTTTTAATACAGTTTTACTATGAGGAGAGAGATATACTAATTTTTCCTTTGGATATATATCAAGGTAACTTTTTTCTGTAATGTCTAGAGGTGTCTTATTTAAATCAGTACAAAGTGATTTATTAATTAAATTAACTGTTCGATCATCAGGATTTGCATTGCAAAACTTTATGTGAAAAGGTGCTATGTGATTTCTATTGAGAGAAAATGCCATATTGATTTGCTTTGCACAATATTTAGAATTAAAATCTGACATTAAATGATCATAGGAACAATCGAAAACAATGTTTTGAGAATATAAAGCTGCAGTAGCCAATTTTAGATTGAGATGTTTTGATACTGTCTGATCAAAGATTCTCATAAAAAGAGAATTTCCACCTAGGCCATATCGTATGTGATGATTTTCTTTTAGTTTTTCCCACTCGTTCTGTCTCATTTCCCTGTGCTTTTCTTTTTTCTGTTTTAAGTTTTCATTTTTTTTCTCGTTTTTAAATAAATAGGCTAAATATCTAAATCTACGAGAATATGAAGGAATATTTAAAAGTTCTATCCAATTTTTTTTACTTATATCGGTAGGCACTTTTACGAAACGATCACGTAAAATTTGAATTTCAAAATGCAATACTTTTAATTTTTTTTCTATTTCTTTGTCACCATTAGATATTTCTTTAAAAATTTCTTCAACATTGGTTTGAAGACTGTCATCATTATCGTTACACGAAGAAGTGTCACTTTCATCTAAATCTTGTTTTCTTTCTTTTTTTTTTGAAAGAGAAGAAAATTTTAAAATTTGATTATTATTATTATTATTAACTTGTTGATGTTTAGTAATTTTCCAAAAGTTCTGAAACTTTTTCTCATTGAATACGTAATAATTTGAAAAAAAATATACATTTTGAGTCGATTTTATGTATGATTGAATTTCTAAAAAACCACGTTTAAAGACACGAATCATAATTTTTTTTTTTTTGTTTTTAATAAAAATCCGGCAAAATAATTTAAATTATTTTATCACACATTGGCACAATCAATAAATAAATAAAAAAAACCATAGAGGTACAATATATATATTTACAATTTTATTATTTTACGTTATGATAACTGAGTTATTTTATTTATGATAACTTATTTATAAATTTGTGTGTTCTCGATAATTTTTTTTTTTTTTTTATAATTTTGTTACAAGAAATTATATAAAAAGTTTTTTTTTTAGGGTTTTTTTAAAAGAAAAAAAAACTTTATTATTTTAAAATTTTCTATTATACGTGATAAGAGTTAAATTTGATTTAAAAGTCAAATGTCGTTTGCGAGGCCGTTATAAAATAATATCGGATTTAAATGAAATTTTGAATATTTGACTTTTATAATTTTTTAAATAATGTCAAATAATATTGAAAATGCTTTTATATCTTCTCAACGAGCTATTAGTTTTGACAAACGTGGTAATATACAAGCGGCCATTTATTATTACAATGAAGCAATTAGATACCTTCAAATTGGAATAAATAGTAATTATGATGATGAAAACGATACTACGGAGTGGAAAAATGCACTTGAAAAATATCAGGAACGATTAAAAACGTTGCAAGAAATCAGTAAGTAACTTTTATATTGATGTAATTTATCTTTGTCAGTAAAATTGTACTATGTTTACATATTTTTACATTTGTCACCAGGTGCCTCAGGGACGTTATCTTCGTCACAATCAATAAGCCAACAAATTTTACAGAGATGTAACTTTTTATTTTCTCAAGCTTTGGATGCTGATGAAAGAGATCACAAAGATATAGCTGTAGAACTTTATAGTCAAACTGCTGAATATGCTTTAACACAAGTAAGATACATAATTTATTTAAAACAATATGTTTTTGTTTTCCTTCATCGAATTAACTTATTTTCAAATCATTAAATAATTTCTTTGTTAAAAAATTTAATTAGTACTTTTTTTATTTTATGTTTTACACCCAGAAATAAATAAAAAATTTTTTAAAATTTTAATTAGAAAGGAGAATGTGATGAAATTGTTCAACAAAAAATTGTTACCAGAGCAAAGCAAGCCATTGAAAGAGCAGAAGAAATTAAGGGAATTTCTTTGAATAAGATAAATTTTTCACCTAAAACTTCCACATCTGTCCCTAAAGGTGAAGGTTAAATAAAAAAATAAATAAATAATAATAATAATATTTTTTTTTTTAAGGACCATATAAATATTTAATAATTATTTTTTAGAAACAAATGCAAACAAGCGTAGTACTCTTCATAGAGGTAGCAGTGCTCATTTACAAATTACAGGTGGATCCGCCATTTTATCTGATGAAGAAAAACGTGTTTTGTTATTGACTTCAAAAATTAACAACATAGATTATGTTCCTTTTATGGACATTGACTTGAAAGAAAGGTAAAACACTAAATAAAATTACATTTATACATTCAAATTTTAATAAAAATATAACTGTCAACAGGTTCCAGTATGCTATACCATTTAGCGACAGAGATGGATTTTTGAAATTATCATCCAAACAAAGAGCAAATTTTGCCAAATGGAGCAGACCAGAAGACATTTGCAATGAACCTAAAATGATTTTATCTTCAGGATTGGATTATCATAGCATTAAACAAACTGTAAGTTCCTGTTTTTTATTTTTTTATTTTTACTAATATCATTAATTTCGAAAAATTTTTTTTCTTCATAAATTATTTATGATTAATTATTTTCCAGAAAGTTTGAATTCTGTTTATAGCTGTGTGTAGTGCTAATTTTTGTGAAAGCTGTTTAATGAAAAACCAACTGTTAATAACAGTAAATAATAAAAATGGAAAACAAGCAGTAGAAGGTTTGAATTTAAAGCAAGTTTTATATTTGTTTAATATTTTAGAAGTGTTTTAAAAAATTTTCATCATAAAAAAATCTTTTAAGTTAATTTTTAAATTTGGTTTCCCCTATTCCCCCCCCCAATTGGCTGTTAGCCAGTCTTTTGTATTTTACAAAATTGCATTTGCAATCATCTGTAGTATTATTATTAAACGTAGGTCTCTGTACCAAATTATTTGTTCAAAATATTAAATTACCATGAATAAGGCTTTGAAATAAAATTTCAATTTTTTAAAAATTTTATTGGGGTAATAATGAAAATTATTTTGAAATCAATGACAAAAATTTAATTTTTGTTTTGGAATTTTCAGGTGATTTCAGATTGTTCTTTTGTGGCATCTCTGGCAGTAAGTGCTTTATATGAACAAAGATTCAAAAAAAAACTTATATCAACTATCATTTATCCAAGAAATAAAAATAAGGAACCCATTTATAATCCATTTGGTAAACCACTATTTTTTTTTCTCACAATTTTAAAAAATATTTATCACAATCTTACTTGCATAGAGATAATTTGTATAAATATTTATTTCAAAAGCTTTAAATTGATTTGTTGGAAATGTTTGAATTTGCTTATTGAGTTAGTAATTTTATATATGTTTTTAATATCTGTTATTTTGTGTCGTTCATTAATACATAACTTAAATGTCTGGAATTTTAAATTTTTTATGAAGTGAATTCAATTTTTGGTTGCATCAAATTGAAAATTTATTTTTTTGCTTAAACTTTTATTGAAAGTGAATTTCTTTTTGAAAAAAGGAATTCTGAGCCTAAGCAAAATCAATTTCACTAAAAGAAGTTTTGCACAAAGTGTTTCCGGTTTTATTTTTAATAATAATTTTGTTTTATTATAGGAAAATACATGATTAAAATTCATTTAAACGGAGTTCCTCGAAAAATAGTTATTGATGATACTCTTCCCGTTGGTCACAATGGTGAGCTTTTATGTTCTTATTCTACGAATTCTGGAGAATTATGGGTTTCACTTTTAGAAAAAGCTTACATGAAGGTCATGGGTGGTTATGACTTTCCTGGTTCCAATAGTGTAAGTTTTCATTTCATTTATCCTATTAAAAGTACTTAATAATAATGATATTACCTTCGTCATTTGTGCTTTTAAAAAGTTAGCCATAAATAATTTTAAGAATATATATATTTAAATTTTATAATTATTAATTTGAATACTGTAAATTTTTTAGAATATAGATTTACACGCATTAACAGGTTGGATACCTGAAAGAATTGCAATTCGAAAAAATGAAGAAGATTTCAATAGTAAAGCAATATTTAATATGTTGGAGGAAAGGCTTCACAATGGACATTGTTTAGGAACGGTTGCAACAGGACACTTGCCAGATATGGAAGCTGAACGTACAGGTTTGGTACCCACTCACGCCTACGCGATATTAAATATAAAATCCATCAAGGTAGGATTATTTAAAAAGTAAAATTTTATTCGAATAAAATAATAAATTGAGGGGAGAAAATGATTTTTATAGGGAACAATGCTCATGCAGTTGAAAAATCCTTGGTCTCATATTAGATGGAGAGGAAATTTTTCTGAATTGGATGTTTTGCATTGGACCCCCGAATTACAAAAAGCTCTTAATTTCGATCCGGAAAATGCTTCCATGTTTGATAATGGAATATTTTGGATAGATTATGAATCCATATTAAATTTTTTTGACGTATTTTACATTAATTGGAATCCTGAATTGTTTTCTTACACATATTGTATTCACGAGTAAGAAAAATTATAATAAAATTGACTGTATGAAGCAAATTATTCTTTTTTTAATATAAAATTTAATTTTGATAATAATGATATTAATTTGTTTTTCAGGTCTTGGCAAGCAGGAGTCGGACCAGCCAAAGATGTCTATAACATGGGAGAAAATCCTCAATATAAACTTCACATTCCAGGAGAAAAAACAGGATCTGTGTGGGTTCTCCTTACGCGACACATAACAGACGTTGAGGATTTTAAAGATAATCAAGAGTTTATAACCCTTCTTGTGTATAAAAATAAAGGAAAAAGAGTTTATTATCCGAGTAATTAACTTTTATAATATGACGTATTTCAAATGTTTTTTAAATTTTAAAAGTTTTATTCAAATATTAAACACAAATTGATTTAATTTGATTTTTAAAATTGTTATTAGAATTAATTTTTGATGATTTTTTTTAGGGGATCCTCCTCCTTATATAGATGGTGTAAGGATCAACAGTCCGCATTACCTCTGTAAAATTTTACTCACAGGAGAAGGGGAAAGAACGTATACTTTAGTCATTTCTCAATATGAAAAAATGAATAATATTTATTATACTCTTCGAGCGTACTCAACTTTACCTTTTACTCTAAATAAAATAAATAATATTTGGAATTTCACGGAAACGGTATCATTAAATAATTAATAATAAAATAATAGATTAAAAAAAATTTTTCATTCCTTTTTTTATTTAAATTTTATTTCAGATGAGTGGACAATGGATTGGAAAAACTGCCGGCGGTTGCACCAATAATCCTTCTACTTATACTGATAATCCTTGTTTCCAAATAAAAATAGATTCAAATCAAAGCAATAATACGTTACTAATCGATTTAAAAGGTCCTAGACAATATCAAATTGGATTTGATGTTTATTGTATGTTTGCTTCAGATGAAACTGTCAAAGAAGCTTTTGGAAAAAAAAGTTCAGGTCCTTACAGGTACATATAACACTCCGACCATGTTTCAAAATGATTTTACTTATTTTTACTAATAATTCTTAATGTTTTATGAATGGTTAATTTTTATTTTTTAAATGAAATGATAATGATAATTTGATTTGTTTTTATTTTCAGATCTGGTTTTGTAATCATGGAAATGGATATGGTACCTCCAGGAGTCTTTAATTTGATTCCCAGCACTTATTATCCGGGAAGTGAAGGCCCTTTTATATTAACAATTAAATCTTCTTGTCCTATTTCTCTGTCAAGAATCAAATAGTTAAACAAATTGTATTACACAAATTATTTAACAGCATGAAATTTTTATTTTTGCCTTATAAAATGTTACTAATAATAATATCGAAATGATATAGTCACGCTTTAATAATTCACTAATTATTTTATTTTTACAAAAAAAATTTTTATTAATTGTTATTAATTTTTACAAATTTATTAATAATTGATCACTAAAAATGACTAAATGAATTGTATCAATTGAAATAAGTAATTTAGTTCTCTACCACATGCTTTTCTTTACTAACGTTGCTTTAAAAGAAAATTATTATCTACTTTTATTCTTTCTGCTTTAAAAAAAAATTTGAAATTTCTCATTTATTAGAAATATTTTATTCTTTGTTACTAAATTTTTTTAAAAATGAAATCTTACTAATGTTTCCCGCGAACAAAAAAAATAGTTTTACAAAGTTTTATAATTTTTCTTTTTAAAAGTATTATAACAGAAAGCAGTATTGTGTGAAGAAAAAAAAAAATATCGAAAGCAGGTATGCAGTAAATGCATAATCGATAAAAAAATTTTGACATTTTCAATTTAATTAAATTGAATTTTATTTTTGTTTATTTATATATACCAACAGTATAATGAAATTTTTATATACAAATTATTATTATTATTATTTCTCCACTTAAATATAAACATTAAGTTTCATCTCATCAACTTTTTTTTTCTTTTTCGATGATGTTTTTTGCTTTGTAGTTTAGTTATTAAGATTGATCTTTTTCAAAATGAACTTTTAAATCTTGTTTAAAAATCATCCATCTTTTTTTTTTGTTTTTTCAAAAATTTAAAAAAAAAAAAATAATAATTATTAATTATTTCAAAAAATAAAAAAATTTGAATTACATAAATACTTTAATATTAAATTTTTTTTTTTCAGCAGTTAATCACAAGACAGAAATCTTGTGACTATTTTATAAAAATATAAAGATATTACAATTATTAATTTTTTTTAAGTTTCAAAAAAAAAGAAACTGTAATAACAAAAAATGGTCACAATGAAATGTTGTAAAGAATTATTTTACACTGGTCAAGAATTTACTTTAAACTTTATGAGGTGAGTACTAAATTACTCTTTATAAAATTTAAATTTTCTCTTTAAATACTGATTAAAATTTGTAGTACTGATGACAATTTTCTCTCAATAATTACAACAATTTTAATATTCATTTATTGTTTTTAAACTAAAACCACATACTTAAAAAATTATTTTAACACTTTGTTACTTAAAAATTGATGTATTTTAGATGCACTTTTAGCAAAACTATTGAAATACATTAGTTACTTCTATAAAATTTGTTTTATATGAGAAGGGGACAGGTGGCTAGGCATTGGTTCAGCAGAAACTTTTGTTACTTTCATACCAACACCTTCAGGAAGCATTCTTTCAATGTATTCTAAAAAGGTATCAGCAGTGGAACCTGTTAATTTATTAAAGTTCATCCATAAGTAATGAGTTCTTATTTCATATTGAACTAAATGTTTTCTATGTACGAAAACGGATTTTAGCACGGTGAACCTCCGTTTAGTTGGCTTTGGTAAAGTTTTAATTTCTCCTAAATTAATATTTAAACACTCAGCAGCAGTTTTGACAAAACGGGAGTAACTTCGTAAAACTTCGGGTTCTGAGCTTTTAATTTCTAGTGTGATGGTTTTGTACAATTTATCCGGCATTGAAGGATCTCCAAAAGATATATTCCGCAGCGAGAAAAATTTGTAATCTTTGCGAAAAATAATTTGCGGAAATTCTGTGACCCATTTATTTGATAAAAATCTAAACATATTTAAAAATCTTTAAAAAAAAAAAAAAAAAATTTTTTTTTAAAGTTACACTAAAAAAAATGTTTCGTGGCAGCAAAGGAATTCATTTTTGATGTACAGTGATGTATTTTCGTGGAAGAAGTGTTTGTAAGTTTTCAGGGTGTATTAATTTTTAGATATGCATTGCTTTAAAAATTATTTGTAGCTTTATTGCATTATTGTACTACTATTAAAATTTGACCTTTTTTTATGCTGAAATGCTTGTAAGCTGAATGTATTCTATTTTTATATATTTATTCAATTGCGAAGCTAAAAACCATCGATTAACCATTGTAAGATGTGCATTTTTACTATTTCATCTTTTTTCTTATTAACAGGCTTCAGTGAGATAACCCAAGTGCAAATATTCATCTTTACCTTAAATTTTTAGACACTCAAATAAAATCATAATAAATTTATTTAATCTCTTTTAATAAATATTTTGTATAATTGGTTTAACATTAAGTAATACACTTCATGTTTTTCTACTATGAATAATAACTGATTGCTTTATTTTTTATTATTTTTATTAATTTTAGTATTTCTTGTTGTTTTAAATCAAAAATTTACTTATAATTTTTAAACTAATTCATTATTTTTGTAATTTTTTTTATTATTAATTATACATTATAAGTTAATTTTTTAATTCAAAACAAATAACATGATTGATTACAGATTATAAGTAAAATAAATGCTGTTTTTTTTTTTTTTTTTTTTAAGATGAATTATCAATGTAAATTGCAGCTAAATTAATGGGAGAAATGGAAAGTTGTGCTCTTGTAAGTGGAAGAAGGCGCATTGCAACTAAACATTCAGTTGAAGATCAAGCTTTAGATCAAATAGCCAAAGAGGTAAGAGGTTAAAGTTTTTTCTTTTTCGAATACTCATTCAAAATATTTAAATTAATAATTTTTTTTAGTTTATGAATTTTTTTTGAATTATTGCATGATTTGTCTGAATCACTTCATAACAATTGCAGGTTTCATATTTATTTTTTTTTTAGAAAAATCAAGAATTATAAATTATGTGTTTTGCATTTATAAACATATTCATAAAATGTAAATAACTATCAATTATTAATACTTGAATTCACTTTTAATAATTTGCTAATGTTTCAAATATTTCCTTATGAATTTTTATTATTTTAACTGGTACATGTTGAGAAACATTGATACTTTTTATCAAAATTTCCAACATGATTGATGTCTTTTTGATTATGGCCTTATTTAATCTTTGTCATACATTAAAGCCATTTTATTTTTACCTAGTGTTTCCAGTCCGAAGACATTTAAAATTATTGTATTAAATTCAAAGTAAAATATTGTTTTATCAGGCTGAAGCAAGGTTGACTGCACGAAGGCAAGCTAGAGTAGAAGCAAGAGAAATTCGATTGAGGGAATTAGAACGTCAACAAAAAGAGCAAGAAGAAAATGCAGATAGAGTGTATGATATGTCGCATTCTGGTGATAACACTATGAGACCTGGAAGAGTTTCCAATGCTGCAATGGTTAGTGGTAAAGATAGGCAAAACTCATTCATAAACAATTACTATGGAAGCAGAAGGAGTTCTGATGATTCAAACGAAGATGGGTCATATTGTTTAAGAGATGTTAAGGTAATACAAAATTTTTATATTTAAATATCTTAAAAATATGCAATTTTGCAATAATTATAATGTTTCTAAAAAATTAAAAGGCTTAGTATTTTATTCAATTGCTTGTTTAAATATGCATTACTGCCTTATATGATTGATGATGATGTAATCAAACAAACATACATTTACATTTAGCATGAGTTAAAAGAAGTTGATGAAAAGTTTAGAAAAGCTATGATAGCAAATGCTCAATTGGATAATGAAAAATCTGAATTGGTTTATCAAGTTGAATTACTAAAAGATAAGTTGGAAGAATTAGAAGAAAGCCACATACAGGTATTTATTTAAAAATAAATTTGTAATTTGTTAATTTAAAATTTTAATCTTGATTGACAAAGCTTTGAATCTTTAAATGCTAGTAACAAAACTTAATTAGGTATAATACATAAAAAAGCTTTTGAATTTTTAGTTAATTCCTGGACATGTTTTAAAACTTAAAATCTTAAAAATTTTCAATAATTGCAATATCGTTTTTCATTATAACAAATTTTTTATGAAAGTTATACGCTAATATTGGGACTTACTAAAATTGTAAAATTATTTAATATTATGAAATTTAGCTTCAGAAAGAAAATCGAGATAAATGTAGGGAACATGAACAACTTAAAAGAGTTGCTTTGAAATTAAAAGATGATTTAGTATCTTACAAAAGTCAACTTGAAGAACGTGACAGACTTATTGCTAATTATGGGCTGATGATAGTTGGTGGAGAAGATGAAGAAGGTCCTTCAGAAAGAGCTTTGGTAACTGTTGAAACTGCAGATTTGCTTCAGAAAGTTGGGGAAGGATCACTAGGTTAGAGATTGTTTTATTGTCAACCTTTAAACAAAACTATAGAGACTGTTAACCATATAACAAAATCAATTGCAGATGTTCGATTAAAAAAAATTGTAGAAGAAAGAAATGAGTTGTTTGACGAAGTTAGACATTTAAAATTAGAATTAGAAGAAGAAAAAAGTAAAAGAAGGATAGATGGTAAAAGTGGGTATTCTGCTGCTAACGGACTTATAGACGAGGAAACTAGTAAGATCATGAGCGATTATAGATTTAAATTACAAAAAGCAGAACAAGATGTGTCCACATTGCAGGCCACTGTAAGTTTTTTTTTTTTTTTTTATGAAAAAGTAAAATTTCTTATGAGTGTTTTAATTCTTTTTATAATAATTTTCATAATTACTCACAATGATTATTTAAAAAAATTTTTTTTTTTTTTGCATTCAAATCAATAATATTTTTACAATTGATAAAAACTATTTTTTTAACGTGAAAATTATTATATAATATAATAATGTGACTTTTAATATATATAAAGTATTTATAAACTTTAATGAAGTTCAAATATGCTCAAAGGACAATGAGCGTGTTTTTTTAAATGTAAACAAAAAAAAAAATTTTTTTGTTTTAAACAGGTGGCAAGACTTGAAAGTCAAGTTATCCGTTATAAGTCAGCTGCTGAATCTTCAGAAAAAGCAGAAGACGAACTTAAAATAGAAAAAAGAAAATTGCAAAGAGAGGTAAGTGGTTAACGGTTTTTTTTACTTATAAATATTAATAAAGAAATTTTTTTTTTTTTTTTTTAGAAATAAAATTAAATTCTTTTATTTTAAATCGTAATATTTAAATATAAAATGTTTTGGTGGTTTTAATTTAAAAATTTTATGTTGTACTGAATGGAAACTTTAGAACAATAAATTTGAAAGCATTACTCTAACACATATTGAAAAAAGAAACTCTTTATGAATTATTTTGTGAAAACTTGAATTAATATAAAGTTTTATTATTTTCAGAACAGAGAGTCGATTGCAAGAATAGAAGAATTAGAAACTGCAAATTCGCATCTTCAAAGACGAATGGACAAATTGAAAAACGCCAAATCTACTTTATTAAAAGAACTTTAATATTAATTTCGTCTAGTCTTATGAGTGTGTATATATATACACACACATATATATACACACACACACACAAAAACTTTATTTAAGTATATAAACTTATTAAGGTGCCTTTAGTAAGTCTAAGGCGATTTAAAAAAATATTAAATAAAAATTGTATTATTATAAACTCATATTTAAAATAGTCGTAAATTACAATATTAGTTTACTTAACCTAAACTTTTTTAAAAATTAATTTATCAATGTGTAACATAAATGAAATTTATATAAAAAAAAAAAATATTTAAAATCAAGTTTATATATATATTTGTATATTATCTCAAATAATGAATCCTAAAAATTATTCACCATAATTTTTCATTTAATTAATTAATTAATTGAATTATGTGCGTGCGCGGGTGCGTCGGTCGAATAAAATCGTAAACTTTTTTTTTATTAATAATAAAACTAAATTTTGATATTTTAATATCTAAAAATCAATTTAGTTAATTTTATATTTAATTAAAGGGGAAAAAGAAAAAAAAATTGTTTTTATATCTATGTTAAATTGCATAAAATTTATTCATTATTTTTATTTGACACACACACACACAGTCGAAAAGGAATTTTTGAAAACTAATTTAAATTGTGCATCTTGAGGGTAATAACTAACAGGTAGTATTTTCAATAATTTTTATTTTTATGACTTTATAATTTAAAAAAAAAAAAAAAAAATAACAAATATCTTGTAATAAGTTGATTAAACGGATAAACATAAAAAAAATAAAAATACTGACTCAGTAATAAATAAATATAGTAAAAAAAAAAAAAAAACATTTTTTAAGTATCTCCTTCGTAGAAAGGAAATAATTTTTTTTGAGTTTTTTTTTTTTTTAATTTAATTATTTATATTAACATGTTATACAATTAAAAATATTTATTTTTATATACATATATATATATATCTACATAATATGTATAAATATATTTATAAATATACATATGAATATTTTTTTATAGCAATTAACTTGTTAATTTGTACAGGTCATTCAATGTTATTTTAACTTATGTATAAAATCAGGTTTAAAACAACCTGATTAAAAAAAAAAAAAACTGTAATATTTATTTTTTTGTTCTTGTTAGATAAAATAATGTTTTTTTTTTTTTTTTTCAAGTATTGAGATGACGTCTTAATTCATTGGTGAATGAATTGGCGAATAAGCGAGCAACAATTATTTTGTACTACAATTGTTTTAAATATTTTATATTATTTTATTTCAATAATCTTCAATGCCTGTATCAGTGCATTCACTACTACAATATGGATTTTCTTCATCAAAATATTTTTCTTCTTCATCTTGATTTGTGACATCTAAACAATCATAATCTGAATTAGAATCTACATCTGAATAATTGAAATCGTTATCTTCACCATTTAAAAATTTATGTTGCATTAACGATTTAAATTCATTTGATAATATAACTTTTTCTTCAGGGGTTGGTTTATATTGACATTTAGTTTTAGGTAAATCAATTTTACTGCAGACTTTCTCATCTTCCCAATCAACTCCCCATCTGAGTTCAGATGAAGTTTTATTATTAATATCCTTTGTTGGCGATTCTTCACTTTCAATTTCCTCATCTTCTTCTTCTTCTTTGTTTTGATTTAATATTTCATAATATTCTTCTTTTTCTAATTCATTAAGAAGAAAATTTGAAAATGTGGGAATGACAAATTCATTATCTTTTAGTTTTTTCTGTTTTTCTTCTTCTGATAAGTATTGACCAATCATTTGATGATACAAAACGGGATCTCTTTTTTCCATTTCAGACAAAGTGAAATATTTTCCCGAGGCTTCCATTCTTTGCATTGCTTCAAACCTTCTATTACGAATTTGAACGTGTTTCCTTCGATCGTTTAAAAGATGTTTAAATTTTTTAACGTAATGGTTTATTTCATAAGATGTATCGTATTTGTTTAAAAAATAATTTAAATGATCATCCGTGAGAAATTTTCCAAATCTGGTTAAAAAATTAACAGGATTATTACTCATAAGAGATTCTAAAATATTTCTTTTTTCATTTTCAGATAAATCCGGTTCATCCATTTGTTGGCTAACAACATTTAATGGACAATCTAGTAAAAAATCAACAATTTTTTTTAAATTTTCGTCGCTCATTGTCCTGTTTAGGTTAGTTATTAACCAAACTCTAATTATGAGCAATTTATTAGTTAATAATGTAAACAGAAATAACGACCGTTAAACGAATTCCAACGACATTTTAAAAAAGTGTAAGTACTAATACTGTTATAAGTAAGTAAACACAAATTTATTTTATTTACATAATTGTTTTCTAACTTGATTCTCAAACGAAAAATTATATTGCCAACTTTATTACAATTTATTTTTTTGAAACAATTCTGTATTATTATTAGCAAAGAAAATAATTTAATGGAGAAACTAAATTACTCTCGCATTTAAAAATATTTAAAACTCATAAATAATTGCTAACCCATTTTATAATTTACAATGATGCGTTTTAGAAATTTTTTTTCTGTGCAATAATGTTTTTTTTTTTTTAAATGAAAATGTCGTATAAACTTTTTTTACAATTTTTTAATTTTAAATTTAGCTCTTTAATGATTAATAATGCTGAAAAAATTACTTAAAAAAAAAATTAAGGGTAGTTATTACGCTTTTATATATATTAATTGTGTACAAAACGCATTAAAATAATTTATGTGTGGTACATTGAGTGCCTGTGTGATACGAATAAGTCATTGCTTTTTTTTTTTTATTGATAAAATTATTTAATTATTGATGAAAATTTATTTCCAACAACTTTTTAATTTACTAAATTTATGTATTTATTTATGTTGGATTTATTTTACCAATTTTCTTTTTCAGGCGAAAAAAGTAAAACATAATGGTTATTTAAATGTTTTATTTATTTTTAAAATACGACAGAATCGGACGTCTTTACTAAAAAGAAATAATTGTGAGTTAAAGAAGAAAAAGCATTTTAAATGCATATATTGTATCAAAGAATTTAAAAAAAAAAAAAAAAAAAAAACTTATTTCCTTAAATGACTTAATTTTCTATTGGAATTTTTTTTTTTGTCGCATGGCTGACTACGGTCAATAAAACAAGTAATGTCGTGGTATCAAAAAAAGTAAAAAAATTTATCTATGGTTCAGTCTGAGGTTTAATGCTCTAAAGTTGTTACATATATATCTTAAAATTTAATATTAAATTCGAGGTTAGATATTTATTTATTTATATTTTTTAACTCTTATTTTAATCCGTAATAATGTTTTTTCGTAGTTTTAATGTGTTTATATATTCCATATTTTATTTAACAATATGTTTTAGCTGACAAGATGCCTGAAAAAATTAAATCATCATGGGCCGATGAGGTAGAAGAAAATGAGCATGGAGGAGGAAGATTACCTTTACCATCTCCGACAGAGGTTGTAAATGGCGATACTAAAATTGTTACTGAATATAAATATAATGACGAAGATAAGAAAGTAAAAGTTGTTAGAACTTACAAAATTGAAAAAAGAATCGTTTCAAAAACAATAGCTGCCAGGAAAACTTGGCCAAAATTTGGTGCATCAGCAGATGACAAGCCTGGACCAAATCCTGCTACAACTGTTGTATCAGAAGATATTTTTATGCAGTTTGTTTCTAACAAAGAAGAGCAAGATAAACTTGAAGAAGACTCTTTGGATAAATTAAAAAGCCTGGGTGAAAAGGGTGTTGTAAAGTGCAGAACCTGCAGCGGAGAACACTGGACTACAAAATGTCCTTTTAAAGACACAGGTTATATACCAGGAAATAAGCAAGATATGGTTAGTTTAGGACCTGGTGGAGTGGGGGATAAAGCCTCCATAATGGGAAATCAAATGGATGATAAGAAACCTTCAGGTTCAAAATATGTGCCTCCAAGTTTACGTGAAGGTGGAAACAAGAGAGGTGATTCAATGCAAACTCAGCATAAAGATATAAATTTTGCTATTAGAATATCTAATTTATCTGAAAGCACCCAAGAATCTGACTTAGAAGATTTGATTAAATATTTTGGTCCAGTTCAAAAAATCTTTTTGGCCAAAGACAAGCAAACACAGTTATGTAAAGGATTTGCATATATTCATTTTAAAAACAAGGAAGATGCTGCCAGTGCTATAAAAGGATTGAACGGACATGGTTATGATCATCTTATATTAAATGTTGACTGGTCAACATCCAAACCTACTAATTCCCAAGACAAGTAATACTGCTAGGGTCTAAAGTAATATAAGATTCAGAATTATTATTAATTTTTCTGAATGTTTTTTTATATTATTTTTAAATTTAAAGGTATTCTTTTATGTTATTTTCATTTTCCTTCATTGACCTCTTATATAAACATGAATGTAATAGAGTTTTGGGTTTTAAAACACAAATCAGCTTTTCTTTGTTTTTTTTTTTTTTTGTTCAATCCTTAAATTGCTACAAATAATTACAATTTCATCGATTATTATTAAATGTGGAAACCTTTTTTAAAATTTGACTTTTTCACACAGTTAAACAATTAATTCTTAACTTAGAATTTGTGGATGGGTTACTACCAAAGAAATTTGTTGAATATTTAAAAAATGCTCATATTTAATTTTAAATGTATTTAAGAGGTAAAAATTCAATTTACAAAATTAGTATTTTCGATGAAATTTAAATGTACTAAATTAACTTGATTTTCCTCTGAAGTTTCCTAGAGTGTTTTTAATGAGAGAAAAAAAAAAAAAACATATAACTAATTAAAATATATGTATTCATATTTTTTAGTTCTCTGTCAGAACATGTTAAAAAATTTATTGATATTAACGAATTAATTTAATATCAAATTACAATATTTACAGGTTTTTAAATAGTTGTCATTCGACTAAAAATTTAGTCAACTTATTATTATTATTCGTGGTAAGTACATTTAATACTGATTTGTCTTACACTCACACATACGCACACACAATCGTTTTTTTAAAAAACTTGGGGTTTATTTTTATTTTTTTAAATTCATTTTAGCAACGAGTTCAAGAATAATGTAATTATAACCTTTTGCTTTTTATCATAATTAGGACAGTTACGAAGTCCATATTGGTAAAAAGCAGTCTTTAAAATTTTTGTGGCATTTTGTAAGAACATAATTTTACAATTATGAATAATTTTTTAGAAATTTTTCATGAAATTTTTTAAAATTTTCTAGCATCTCCTTCAATAATTCTACAGAAGGCAATATTGTTGTTCTTAAATGATAAGTATCAGGCATCTGTTTGAACCCGGTACCCGGTATCACGCATATTCCAGTGCTTTCCAATAATTGAAATGCATAAAACGTATCAGCAGGCATATTTTTACTTTTGGCTTCTTGCAAAGCTTTTTCCGGCATATCTATTTTAGGGAAAGCATACATGGCTCCTTGAACTTCATTGCATGAAAATCCTTTAATTCCATTAAAAAATTCGTAAATCATTTTTGATTTGATTTTAAGTACTTCTAAAATTTCATTTTTTTCTTTTGAATATAGATCGTAACTCGGTTCACCTTCAACTGGAGGTTTTACTACACAATCTAACAAACATTGTCCCAATACGGTCGGACAAAGCATGGATGAGATGCATTTTGAAAAATTTGCCATGACATCCGGATCAAAATTAAGAAGTTCGCAGTAGGCTCCTCTCAGACCGCATTCACCCATGTAGCCTTTAGAACAAGACATAAAAGAAGCAAGTTCCATTTCAGAATAAGGTTTACCCATCTCATTAATAATTTTTTTCATTGAATGAAATTCACTGTTTTCTGCATAAACATTACTTTGATAAACTTCGTCGGCTAATAAAACTAATTTGTTTTCGTAGGCGAATTTTATTATGTCTTCTATATTACACCTGGTTAGTACTTGACCGGTTGGGTTACCAGGATTTATTACTACAATTGCTCTTGGATGACAATGTTTTTGAGCTTCACATAAACTCCTGCTTAACTCATTCATATCCAAACCCCAATTATTACTTTCTTGTAAGTAATAGCCGATCAAGGTCATTCCAAATTCTGCTAATGAAGCAGAATAAAGAGGATATTGCGGAATGGGTATCATCACTCCCGGCGGTTTGTTATCAATAGGTTGGTTTAATAATTTTAATACGTTTTTAATTGAATCGGATGCTCCGGCAGATAATAAAATGTTCTTCCAGTCACTTTCGAATCCATCTCGATTGCAAATAAACTCTGCAACGTGTTTCCTAATAATTTCTATGCCAAACGACTCGCTGTAAGATCCCACACTTCCACCTTTGCATGCCGACAGTAATTCTTCAGCTCTACAGATCGTATCAGAAGGAAAACTACTGTCTTTAAGAAGTTCAGGATAACTTACTAAAGCAAGTACTTGTCGATAAAATGTCAAAGGTTTCTGGCCCATTGCGTGAGCATCACCTAAATTCGCTTTTATAACTTTTTTAAAAGGTTTTTTTTCACCGGCTTCCAATTGTTTTTCTAATTCAATGGCTCTTACCAAAAGTGGACCGCGAACTGCATATTCCATCGTTTTAATATTTTTGTTCATATTATCTAAAGTGACATTTTTGGAGGATTTCGAACAAAACGAAATTGTTACATTTTTAAATGTTTTTCTTAAAATTAAACTACATTTTAATTTTTGAATAAAATAATAATAATTTGCAATTGAATGTGTCAAACTCATATTTTCATATAAAAAAATATTAAAAAAAAAAAAAAATACAAGTTTTTGTTTATTTGTTTACATTTTAAGAAATGGCGGACGAAAAATTTAGTCTGCGTCCACGTTACTTTTAAAGCAGTAGAATTTTTGCACATTATGTCGGTGATTTTCGCGAAGTAACGTTCTTGTCGTGCAAAAGTGAATTTTTTTAATTTAAATTTTTTTTTTTTAAACTTTTATTAAAGTGAATTAATTACGAATTGTGATTTACTTGTTCCGAAGAAAATCGAAATTTATTATTAATACATTTAAAGTAAGATTTTATATTTTATTTAAAAAAATAATTTTATCTCTTAAATTGAAAAATTTTTCAAAAAATATTTTTGAAAGAAATAATTATTAATAAGTTAAGGAAAATTTATGATAAATTTATTACAATAATTAGAAAATTTTTTTTCGGTACGTTTTTAAAATTTTTTTTTATGTTTTTAAAACGGTGCAAGTGACTCCATTAAAACTTTTTTTTTTGTTGTTTTACGGTTAATAAATAAGAGTGAGAGTGATACTAACAATTACTAATATTACTAATAATTAGTAATAAAAAAAAAAGGTTTGTCTTTTGGATTTTTTTTTTTTTTTAGTTTTTAATTAATTTGAGAGAGTTATATAGTTAATATTTGAATAAAAAATCGTTGAAATCATTTTCGAGGATTAAATTTAGGGCAAAAAAAAAAAAAAAATTAAACATAAAATGACAATTTAATTTCAATTAACATCAATTTTTTAAATTATTTATAAAACATTTAAAAATGAAAATTTTTTCATGTGCACGTAAAAATTAAATGAAAAACATTAATAAATAAATTTTTTTTCCATAATAAACATACATAATACAATTTTAATAACAACAATAAATTATAATTTACAACGGTTATAATCACAATAAATAAATACAATTAATTTAAATTAAATAATTTTATTGATAATAATAATTGAAAAAAAAGGTAAAAAAAAAATTAGTTTTTATATTAAAATTTCTTCATCGAAACTCAAACTTCTTCTTTGCATAACAATAGGTACGACTTTTTCCGATCCGACATTTTTTTCTTCTGATTTTCTTCTCAAATCATTTTTTCCTTTTTTATTTCTTTCCAACCATTTTTTATCCAGGTATCTTCTCATTTCTTTTAATGAATTTTGTTTTACTA